GGAAGCGATTCCTTAGAGTTCAAACGCCCGTAGGAAGCACCAGGAAAATAAAAGCAGAGGCTGCAGTGGTAGAGGTGAGGACCACCTGGGGGCAGGGAGGCACGAGCGGTTCAGAACGGGACAGATTTTGGGGAGGAAGGATATGGTTCTCCAAAACACCACCAAGAGAATCAGCAGAACACGCTGGAAGACGGGAACACCATCGGTTACACACAGAGGCCAGGGACCCGGCAAGAAACTTCTAAAAGCAGTTTGGGGGCTTCTCCCTGGATTTGCCCTCCGGCTCATCAGAGCCCTGGTTCCGAAGAGTTACACACAAAACTCACCCTGGTATTTTATTGTCTCCCTACTCCCATTTCTATGTTCTAGGCGGCCAAACACGAGCAAACGGGGCCTCCTCCAGGAGACAAATGGGTTCAAGAAGTACCTGGAGATGGATTGAAGATGCACCACCTCTTTACAGCTTCTAACCCCCTCAAAACCTTTAGTACCACGTTGCATTGGTATCTGTTTGTCCCCATCCCATTGGACATCCCCATCCACCATCCTCCACACCTTTTAAGATAAAAGCCATTTTTAGCACCTTTTTATAAAGCAAAGGGAAATTTTGCTAAAGGCTTTGATTTTAAGATACTTTGAACTCGCGTATTTAAAAAAAAAACCCTCCACAAAGAACTGAACGAGCTGTAAGGACGTTTGGCCAAAGTTCTCTGCTGACAAGATGGAAAAATCTTGGAAGTCAGAGGCAAGATTTCTGGCCCCGGAGACCATGCCTGACAGAACCCCTCAAGTACCTTCCTTCAGTTTGAGTTATGGTCCCTGCCACGTGCTAACGGATACCTGTGTGATATAAAAGAAAATATATTGTCCCTGCTGTTGTTGTGACGTGGCCATGGAGCTGGTAGCCAGGTGGGGGGACAGGAGGTGCAGTGGTCCTCACCCCTCAGCTCCGTGTGATCCCACTGTGACACCAGCAATTTGTGGGGATCCCGGCTCAGCATCCTTCCCACAAGAGATCAGATGCCCCACAACAACCCCAGAAGCCCCTCTGAGGAGACACAGGGACCCCCCCAACTGCTAAAACAACATCTAGAAGTGCTAAATATTAAAGATGCACAACTCCTGCCCCTCAGGACGCTGTGGTATCCACCTTACGCTACGGTAAAACTAAACGAATGAACGCTGGCAAATTAAGTGATCTACCAGTTTAAGAGACAAAACATTTTTGAAAAGTCCTCAAGTGGTCTGAGCGGAGTACATTACATGGGAAGTGTCTCCTAAGAAATACTTATCATTATAACAGTACTTAGCACTTCCAGAGCGCTTCCCAGCCTCCCAGCACTGTACAAACATTAGCTTCTTAATCACTCATTAGGGACAATCCTATAGAGCTGGGCCATGCCTCATTGAGTAAAGTCATCCCCAACTCGCTCAGTCCCTCTCGCTCCCTCCAGAGACAACTTGGAAGGTTCTCTCTGATTCCTAGGAGAAGTTCAGAGCAAGCAAGGAAAAGTCTGTTCAAAATGAACAGCGGTGAATCCAACTCCCCCATTTTTCATGGCAGGGATAGACAGAGACCCACTTCCATTAAAAACTTGAATTAATAAAGTTGGGAAAATCAGGAACTCTAACAGCGCTGGGAGATTGCGCCTCAGGACGTAACCTCTTCTTGTTGCAAAAGGGCTAAGAAGGGATGGAAAAAAGCCACAGGAATGACAAGTATGTTCCTACAACCTGCCAGTTTGTTCTTCTGGCCGTAGCTGGCTGGATCACCCCCACGCATCACCCGTGCTGCCTGAAAGGAGCAGCTCTGGGTCACCCTCTGCATGGCAGCGGCACCCCGAGGGCCCGTGGTGGCCCAGGCTGCAGGGACCGTGCCAGCCAAACGGGTAAGAGAGTGCAGAAGCAAAAAGGGGCACAGTGAAAGTGAAGGGTCCCCACTCGGAGAAGCCAAGGAAACCAAAAAGGTGAAAATCAGTTCACTCAGTCTTAAAACTTTCTATTTTTCCCACAGCGATGTTCTAATTCAGAGCAGAAGGCTGTTTGACACTCTTTAGCTTAATCCACTTCTCAGAAACACCAATTTAAACTCTTTTTTTAAATTCATTTTTAAAAAAACGAACTCATTGTAGCGTCTATGAAAAAAAAAATCTTGTGCCTTAGCCTTCTATAGTGAAAAAATTAAGCAAAGGAAACAAGCAAGCAATATAAAAATAATCCCCCAAGTAAGCAAAACAATCTGTCAGTAAGTCATCACAGAAATTCAAAAACCCAGAGGAAATCACAACCCCGATCCATGTCCATCCCACTGGCAGATATCTACAAAAATTCATTTTGATGATGACCCTACAAACCATGGCGGGGCAGAGAAAAGGGTCCAAAAACCTGTGTCCAGCCTTTTTTCCCCTTGAATACCACTGTTTCAGGCTACCAACAGCCTGCATCTCGTCAGCCAGAACTGCTCCACTTCCATCCAGGATGGACACACACCACGCCGAGCCCCCGATTCGCTGTTATTCAGGACTCTGACCAGTTTCCAAGAACTAACACCTCATTTTAATGTAACCGCTCTCAATGCCAGCTTTTTCCACCCCACCCCCTCCCTTCTTTATAGTATGTAATTTTTCTACGTTATCAATCTCCTCGCCATTCACCCATTTGGGCACCCTTCCATCGAGCCTGGCATTTCATCTGTGTCTGAAAACTTCCAGCGGTGCCAAGTGTTTGCATACCTTGCAAGTGTTATGTCAAACTCTGCCCCTTGGAGCTGCCAAAAACCACCACTCAAAGTTAGCAAAGCAAATACCTCCTTAGACAAGCTTAATAAACACGCCAGGAGAAACTCTAGACTTCATCAAGACGTTGCTCGCCTGACGAGGCCAAGCTTGAGGTCTTCAGCACCCTTTCATGTCCCATTTAGGCCAACATCCATTATCCTTGTCACACGTTCTCCACCCGCGCCCGGCGTAAGTGCATCGTATCTGAGCACACAGATTATTTGAAACAACCAATCCCCAACTCCACACCTCTTTTCACGCTGCAATTACCGGCCATCGCACCAACCTTGTCTCTAATCAGTCTAAACGAAGCCATTTATTTTATAGCATGAATCAACACGTAGAGCAGATATGTCTGGTGTTTCACACCGCTCCGAGAAGCTAACTCTGGTGCCCATCAGCACTTATGGCCTCGTCCCAAATAAATCCTCGTTTCTTTGTACCCTTGACTGATGACTAGTGATTCGCTAACGAGAGTGGGAGTAGACATGAAAGAGTACATTGAGCAGGGAAAGGTGGAGAAGAGGGGGGACGGAAGCGGCGAAAAATGAAAGAGGAAGGACAAGGCGGGGGCAGGGAGGGCATAAAAAAGCATGGGGGAAAAGTGCAAGGGAAGCGAAAGAGGAGGAGGAAACAAGATCTGTGGGAAGTGGGAGATTGAGAACCTGAGGCCAAAGCAGTCAAGCCTTCCCCAGGGCCCAGAGATAACCCCTGAGAAGATCAGAACAGCCTCAGCTCTGTAGGCTTCAAATTCAATAGCATATCACAAATCCATCACTTCTAAACCACCACTCACACGCAGACACGAGCATCACAGAAACTCTTTGCCCAGAAAACCCCCATCTGATATTCAATGCTTTGGGAAACAGCCTTGACCTTGGATGCCAGCTCCCATCCACCACCCGGCTGGGAGGCCTTCTACATTCACAAGAAGAAGCCCCAAGTTCCCAAGCACTAGAACATCTCCCAAAAGGCTCTCCAAAGCAAAGCACTTTAATGAGGTCTAATTTTCAAAGGGTGGCAGGGGACAAGGTTTGAGAAGATACAGCCCCTTTGAAGCTCGAGGCTGAGCACCCAAGAAGAAACACACCCAAGAAGTTGCACTGTAACTTTGGGAAACGGTAGCCACCAGGTCAAATTCTGCTCTTTTTCATCACTGTTGTCCATCCAAACTAGAACAACCAACTCCAGTTTGCACCAAGACAATCAAGAAATACATTTAACTTCACAATACTAAATTTGGGATCACCGTGACATTTTATGTTCACTGATAAAGCAAGTTAACAAACAACAAAAAACCCAAAACACCTCCAACAGTACAAGATGGATGAATGAACACAAGGAATTTATACCAGATCGCACTTGCATTTCCATCTTCTTCACTCAAGGACTTCAAAAAACACCGGTGACTTACCTTCATCCTGGAAGTCTGAAGGCAGTGAAGCATCAGATGTCATGGAAGGGGCCAAACTCCAGCTTTGATTTTCATCAGAACTGTCCTGTCCACAGCCAGCATCGTGCTGATCCTCTCCTAGAAAGAGAAGGAGACCCTGATTTTAGTGAAAAGGACTCGTTGCTAAACCCAAATCTTATTGCCTACACCGTGAGACATCTTTCCTCCTGATTCCCACCTTCCACTACAGTTCTCTATAAAACCAAAACCACTTTAGTGGGTTTAAGGCCAGATTCATCACTTTGGGCCAAGGCAGCACATTCCTGCCACAAGAACACTCCTGGTGGATACAAACAGCCTTCACACCTGGAGGGCAGAAAAGGAGGAGGCTGGAAATACCCATCTTGGGGCCAAACTACCAGAGCTACGTACAATTCCTTGTTGTTGCCCTCAGCACGTGACCTCTGCATAAATCAGCCATCTGTAAAATGAAGGACTACGCTATCGCCTTCACCAGAATGAGGAATCTTCCTATAATGTAGGAAAAAAGGCTTTGAGATCCATAATTGAAGTATAGTGGGGAAAAAAAGATTGACTCCCTACGACAGGTGGTCACATACAAATTAAGCAAGCGACGGGTCTGTGTGTGGAGGCAGGAGCTATTATTCCCCCCCCATACTTGATGTTACATTGAATTTTTCCATAAGCAGACATTTTGCCGGGGAATTTGCTGCTGATATTGGATTTTATGCAGAAGGCACTTCGATACTGCAGTGACAGATGTTAATATCAAATTTTAATACAAATGGAGCACAGCGAGCCTACCTGTAGAAGAAAATCCTACTCACCCCAAACAAAGCAAAAAAAGTGGTCTTTTGAGCTTTTGCCTTACATTTCCTGAATACACAGAGCCCAAACTGCTGATAACAGAGGTAAAGACAGCTGCTTGCTCATTCAACGCACAACAAACAGCAAGAAAGGTGAGTTTTCAGCTGATGTTAATTGTGTGCAAACACTAAAAACAAGTTTTATCTCAGCAAACAGAGGAACTGTGCCCCACGGTTTAAAATCAAGCACTGATGAAAGGGCACCAGGGCCTGGGACGGAGGTTACAATGCTCTTCCTCCCACCAAGGAACACAGCGGAGACGCCGCTAAGTCTCCAGCTGCTGAAAGAGGTGACACAATATTTGGGATGTGTTTTATCTTCCACAGCCCAGGTTGCAGCCTTCCCTTGCTTGCTCTGAGCATGAAGCTCTCAGAGACCCCAGGCTCCTGCATCCAAGGGCACCTCTTCAAGAAAAATTCAATTCTTCACCAAAAGGAACAATCTGGATGTGAAGAACGTGACTGGAACAAGATTGTCCTCCCACGGATCAGTTCCTTAAAAAGCAAATCCTACCGGGTGCCAGACACCACGACAGTCTTGCTGATATTATAATCTCAGAGGTCTTGAAAAAATGATTTAAGATTTGACTTTGAGATTTACCCCAGGGCTATGGGGGTCAGCGACAGAACAGAGGGGGCCCTGGCAGTGAACCCTTGAAGTCATCAAAACTTTCCTAACAGGAAGAGCCCAGGAAGTAATCATAGGTTCACAGAATGGTTTGGGTTGGAAGGGACCTTAAAGCCCCCCCAGTGCCACCCCCTGCCCTGGGCAGGGACACCTCCCACCACACCAGGTTGCTCCAAGCCCCCTCCAACCTGCCCTTGAACCCCTCCAGGGATGGGGCAGCCACAGCTTCTCTGGGCAACCTGGGCCAGGCTCTCACCACCCTCACACCAAGGAAGTTCTTCCTAATACCTAATCTAATCAAATCTTTTACCCTCACACCAAAGAAGTTCTTCCTAACATCTAATCTAATCAAATCTTTTCCCAGCTCAGTGCTCGCTTGCTTCCAGCAGCCATCCCAGCACATGGTGTGGAACAGCAGATTCCAGAGAAAAAGGAAATTGAGAAAAATAACTTTTCTCCTTTTGGGAGGTGCATTCAGCATCGCCCTTGCTAATCTCTCATGGCAAGGAGAAAGCTGCAGGCCCGTGGTCTAAAAGGGATCAGACACCGGCAGAGGTTGTATCACAGTCCTCTTCCATCCACAGACAACTTCTCAGTCACGAAGGGTGAGCAAAGCACCTTCCTCTACGCTACAACAAACTGGAATTAATGCATGCACCTCCATGAGAAATAATAAAAAAACACAATTTGGGGTTAAAAAGCAGAGGCTGAGATGCCCTGCTCTGCTGGGCAGACTCTGGGAAGCAGAGCACATCCTTGAGCACCACTGAGTGCCTGACCTTGGAGAAGTCATTTCAGCGCTTTGCTCAGTTGTGTGTGACAGGGGGACGTTTATTCCCTGTTTTTACCGTAGCCCTTTGAGATCCTCAAATAAAAAGGCTCTAAAAAGCTGCTACCAAAGAGCAACAGCTCCGTGTGGTAGGAAAACAGGGCTCCTTCTGATGAGGAGCCTTCCTCCACGGCGTTGGGGGCTCGACCGTCCGCAGCGAAGACGACAGTTTCCATCCACCCCTTCAGCCCCTTAAAAAGAACAATTTTCTCCCAACCAAACGGCTCGGCATTAAACCCGGCGTTTGGTGGGAGGTAACAGGTGTCCCCCATAACGAGGTACAGGTGCAGGATTATTGCGGTAACGAGCCGCCTGTTTCCCGGAGCCGGGCTGGCGGGAGGCTCCGCTCACTAAACCATCCGCAGCAAGAACAAGGGCCCCATCAGGAAAAGTTCCTTGCAGGAATAAGTCACCGGCTTTAACGGCAGGAGAAGCCGTGACACACACCAGCCCCGGGGAAGGATCAAGGCACAGGTCCCTGTTTTGGCAGGATAATTCCCCTGTGGGGACGGGTTGTCACCACAAACATGTTGTGTTTGTTTTTTTTCCCTTGCTGTCCCCACGCAGGAGTGGGAATGGGGTTTTCGTGTGTTCCCCCAGGATTCCATAACCCAAATCCAGCCTGGCTGCAGCGTGCACATACATGTGTCACGCCAAGCTCCCAATTGCAGGAGCTGCTGCAACACAAATCAATACAAACAAAGGCATTCTGTTTGGTTTAGTATTAGGAATATTTTCAAACACCACTCACTGCTTCAGTAACAAAAGGAAGATCAACAAAAACCCCGCACACGTAGCTGCTTCAAACAAATCCTATTTCCTTTCCGTTTGGATTTGCATTACGGGAACTTCTTGTGCTTCAATCCACTTCTCCATAAAGTTTATGGAGCAGCAACAGCTAGTTGAGTCCAAGCAGAAAAAATAACCAACAACTTGTCAGGGGCCAAGCTATTGTTCTGAATGAAGAAAAAACTCATTAGCTTTTAATGAAAACACAGGGAATAAAAACCAAATAGCACAGAACCCCAGCAAATAATTACTCTGCACCTGACGCAAAGCTGCTCTCTCTTCCTACTCAAATCCGCAGCAAAATTCCCCAACTTGAGCTCTTTAGAGCGTGAACAAAAGCAAGATTGACTCTAAGGGAAAGAACAAGAGGTTTCTTGGGGTTACACTTAAGCCAGGGACCCCCCTGGCACTGTCTGGCTGCCCCCGAGTGTGCTAAATACCCGGCTTCCTTACTTCCTCACACAAAAAAAATGAATTTGTGCCATCTTTTAGCTGTCTGACATTTTCTGCCGAAACAGTTTCTTGCACAGCGGCGGAGAGAGGGGCTTGAAGGCATCCTGCGTAATTAACAGAGATATCATGCTTTACACATATCGACTCTCAGCAAATTGCAGAGGGGACAGATTGTGTCTCTGGTGACAGGGGTGTCCCCAGAAGAGGGGGTGGCAGTCGCCAGGGCAGGAGAGCGGGGTCCATCAGGTCACATCAGTCACAGCAGGTCCCTGCAGGACCCGTCACCACTGCACAGCCCTGGCAGCAGGCACAGACCCAGCCTCCACAGACCCCCTGCACCAGGGGGGTAAAAAATCACCGAGAGGAGAATGAAAAGAAGCCAATTAAGCATTAAGAGGGCTCCAAAGAAGCAGCCCAAGCAGGAGCTACAGGAGAAAGGGTCCCCACCATCAGGGACCACACTGTTGCTTCTTTCTCCGCAACCTCAAGAGCACAAACGCGGCTCCTCTGTGAGATCCCCACCATCAGGGACCACACTGTTGCTTCCTTCTCCGCAACCTCAAGAGCACAAACACGCTCCTCTGTGAGGGGGGAACAATCTGGACCTTCCCATGTGCTTTGGGGCTTGTGGTGCTGGAGGGCAAAAATCAAACGGGATCTGGCAGATACCAGAAAAACCTCAGTTCAGGTTCTGGTTTTGCTCTAATTCTGTTGTGCAGGGTCAGAACGTGCCTCCTGCCCATCTCCCCCCTTCTGCAGAAGGGACAGAGGGACAATTACTCTCTCTTAAGAATAAAACCTCTTTATTGAGACCTCAAAAATCAAGTTGCCCAAGACTGATATTTTTTTTTCCCCACACATGAACTGGCAGAGAAGTTTTCCTTTCTTTAAGCTGCAGTTTGCCTCTCATAGAGGAGGGGAAAAAAAAGGAACAAACCCCCTGAATTAATGCATCCTGGCACACACAGGAAGAGAAACAATCTAAATAGGTGAAAGGGCTTTGTAGTGGAAAAAAATTCATCTCCAGTAGCTTGTTAAGGGAACTGCAATTAAGCTTACTTTGCATTCAGTGGAGGTCTTTATCTAGGTACCTAGAGTTTCATTAAGCATCTTTTTAGAGCATAAGAAAAATCAATACCAAGCGAGTTCCATTTACGCTTTTATGATAAGCTCCTTCATGCCAAAGCGGAAGTAAAATCCCCAACTCGAGTTAATATTCAAGGAAACGAAGTTCCTGCTTTAAAGTAATGACTCCTTAGTATCATACCACAAATAAAGGTCTCTGATCCAAATCCCATCTGCCTTCATGCTCGACAGTGTTAATATCTCTAGATTTTCAGGGACTAATTTAGCAGTAATGCATTTCCCAAAGCAGAGCTGTAAAAGTATTATCAATACTATGGTTTAATATCCCTGACTACAATCACTCGCTGAAATTATGGAGAATCACATGGAAACACATCAACAGAGACGCACCCACACAGTAAGTGCTGCTCACATGTAAATATATTATAGTTTAGCTTTTGTAATGTAGTTAAGGCTCTGTCAACAT